GGGGGACTGGAAAACCTGGAGGAAACCTCATAACAGCACAGCAAGAACATGCAAACTCCACACACAAGCACATGTCGAACCGTGGTCTCAGAGGTGTGAGGCAACAGTGTTAACCAGTGCGCCTACATACCGCACCCAAGGCAGCAACTGCAGAATCGAAAGCATTGTAGTTCTTTATGGAGGTTTTGAGTAATTATCAACCACTGCATTTCGAAGAAAAAAAAACAAAAAAAAACAAAGGTTGAGGAGCAATGTGTGGAAATAGGGAGGTGTAGAACATCAGCATGCGAACAGAATATTTACATCCGTCTTCAGATGTAAATAATTTCGTTGTGAGAACACGGAGAGTGGTCGGCATCCAGATTTGCAAATCGGTCACTCATACATTAAAAAATGCTTTATTAATTTGCTCGCAAGATCTCAGGGTTTGATAAGCAGAGGCTGACAAAAATAAAAACAGATTAAACCAGAAATCATAGACACAACAAACAATAATAAAATATACACAGGGAGCCAGAGAAGGGAGTGGGATCCACAAGCCAGAAGGTGTTAGCCACAGAGCTATCATAGCTGTGCCAATCCAAAAATCAGAAATTATATTAGACTAAGTAATCTAACACACAATACAGTACAATCTCGACTTTTGATGTGTCCACGTATCAGGGGTCAATTACTCAGAGGAACACGCCCAGAACAGGTGAATACTGTTAGTAACAGCAATGGATAATGACAAAAAGTGCAACTTGCACAATAAAAGATGACGCTGCTATATACCTGTCAGACGTGAATCCGAATATCAACCTGAAAATCGGGATTATCTTAATCACTCATACTAGCCGAGTGTCCACGGGACAGAGGAGCGGAAAAGATGATGTGAGGGGAAATTCTGTGTCAGCGCTTCCAAATCTCCTCCTGTGCTTGAATAAAATGACCCAGCATGTCTGGGGTGGTCCCGAGTCCTATGAAATTCCTACAGACATCGAAGAGTCCTTTTTTTGGGGGAGGGAGTCCATGGTTGTTGCCATAGCAACAACCACTCAGGGTTTAGCCTCCCAGTTCTGGGGCTTCCCAATGTGAAGAAGAATCTGTAATTAAGCGCTTCATCAGGCGTGGTGGACATCTGACCTGGCTTTACAGGGCATTCATTAGCAGATTTTTGAACCTCCTTCTACAGACCAGGTACCACGGTTTCTTTGGCCAATACCGTGGCAGAGCCCAGGACTGTCTGAGCCCGGAAGCGGCAGCGAGAGCATTGGATTACTGTCCGCTGGAGCCACCAGGGAGGAGTGTCACATCAGCACGACCATCTTTATGGTGAAAAGCTGCAGCACACCGCAGTCATACGCTGACCAAAAGTGTCATCAAAAAGAAAAAAAGAAAAAAACAAAAACAGGTGCTTGGAATGAAATTAAGACATGTAACAGAAATCCTGCAACGGAGGCTAAGCGTAGAGTGGATGAATAAAATATGAGGTGATGGTGCAACGACCCCCCAAGGAGACTGCTTTACAACACACTGTCCCTGCGCCAGTCCCAGTGTCCTTTACCTGGGATGCCAGCCATGTCTCAGGACGGCCATCCCACACACTAAAAACATCCCCCCAAGTGCAAGATGTGATCACCATTCAACCAGCAAGCTGAAATCAAACAGTTAAAAGGGGGAACTGTAAATAACACTCACTGTAAGAATCCGTGGGTATATTTAAACACCGACTATAAACGAACAAAACACGCCTTCATTAAAACACTCAACCTACCTGGGCAAGACAGTGATTACAACAAAAACTTAAATAAAACAGCTTGCATGGCTTGACAAGTTTATCGTAGCTAGGACGGCCAAAACCCCATTCTGTTCGATTTGTATAATCGAGATTTCCAATCATTTAAAAGTTACATTGTAACAGACCCGAGTATTCAAACCAATGTAGCGATTTTTAAGAACTCCCGATTACTTCACTAAGCCGGTGATATCAGTGCTGGTTATTACAACAGTATGCCATTTTCTAGCCGCCTTTCAGAACTAGCTGCGCCAAGGCTGAAACTGCTTAACATCTGGGGAGCCTATCGTTTCGCATACCGGAGATGTGAACATCAAGGCGTCTCTGTTATTTTAAACCCACAGCAGTTTGAGAAACCGAAACCAGGCAATAATATGGATAATTTGTTCAGGTGCTGCCTGTGTATTTGTTGGCTCTTTGCAGGACGCAGGGCTGGCAGCAGCATGCGGTGGGACATCACACCCCTCGCCTGGGTAGTCAGTCATACCCACCCAGGTAACCAGATACGGCTCTAAACGTTCAAACTAGCCGATTGCAGGGTTACTGACACACGATCATTCGAGCGCTAAACAATGCGATCACTCACCATTTTCCCCAGTCGAGAGCCGCTTGTTCCTTCAGCGGATGTCTTCAGAGTATTTTGTCCGCGTATATGAATGTATATAATTGTATTTGTCAGATATTTATGCCCCGATCACTATGCGTCTGATAAGTCAGCCACACATTAACTGACTCTCTCAACCCCCCAGGTTCGAAGAGCGCGTCACGCCTCCTCTGTCCCCGAGGTGCACGAAAGAACCCCCCCGGACTTGCGGTAAACCAAACAAACTGGAGCAAACCACCCACTTGTATGTTTCCCTTTTTAAAAATAAAAACATCAGAAAAGGCATCCGATCCTTGTGCCTCCGGCCCTTAGCCTTATTCCAATGTCTGGCAAACCGCCCCAGCCGATCGGGAACCAGGAAGTCAGACGTCTTCCAGAGGCAAGACTTCCTGCGACCACGCTTTCCGAGGAGATCCTTGAAAAAACACCAGGACCATTTGTGTAGCTGTTAAACCACTACACCAGCTGACCTGGTTCAACCGAATTTACTTTCCCATTTGTTGGAAAAAGAACCCCAATTGTATATATTTGTGTTTTTTGCACCTTTAAACTCACATTTGGGTTGGACCCAGGTACCATTTAGGTTAAATATCGTCTGTATTTCGATGAATAACCCTGTAACGACCATGTCCTATATCAGACCTGGGCAAAAACCTGGCCAGATACGAACCACGAAGTTATTTTTACTGACCGCTAAAGTGAAGTGAAGAAAAAAGGGGGTAAAGTTTTATGTTCAAGTACCATGAAATACATTTGCTACTTGCATACTGTCACGCAAAAATGAGCCTCACCAAAAAAGAATAATGCTTCTATTGTAGCTTAATTTCGTAGGACATGAATATAATAATTTAAAAAATCACCTCTGGCTAAGTTTGGATTTTGCTCTCCCCAGAAGAAACGTGTCTAGGCCTGTCCTATATGAATCCAAGCAGGCGATTTAAGTATGACCATGATATTTACCATATCTAAGAGAATAATAAGTATCTGAAGAGTGTGTTGCTGTTTATTCCCCATACTGTTTCAGATCAACATTTTAGATCCTACGCTTAATAGCGAGAGAACCCTTACCATAATCACAAAGAAAAGGCAGCAAAAAAATATAGACCTGAACAATGTAAGTTGTATCTTAGTGGGATTACCATATAGTGTCACAAACTTTGGTCAGCTGGCTGGTGTGAGATTTTCAATTCCAGAGAAGTCCGCACACACATTGACATGTATGTAATAGCTTTATTAACTTGTAAATAGTCTACAGGGTTTGCCAATTACCCAAACGCTTTTGATGTAGCTAATTGTAGGTTTATAATGGAGTAATATAAATTTCCCGCAAGATTTCTTGCATGAGCCTGAGAGTCTGAAAGCGTGTCATGCCAGATGCATGAGAGTTGGCAACCATGATTATGGCATTTTGGTAGTATTTTAACTGAATTTCGCTTAATTTATGAAAAGCACACAAGTGATTTGTATGTATAGGCATTAGGTTTCCAACATATGAAGATTTATCTGCCTCTCCAAATTATAACTATCATTGCAAAAGGAGAAACTGAAGAACACTAGGCTATCAGTCCATGAAGTACGTGCTAGTATCTGATTGACATCCATCAGTTATGTGATGAAACTATAATTTTAGTAGTTCCCATAACTGCATAAATTCATATACACGAATCATAGGCATAATTATGGCCCCCTCAATTTACTGTTGGCCCCTCGTGCCCAACGTGAAAAATACTCTAGACCCGCCATTGGGATACAATTCATCAAACCTTTTGTATATTCATGTTTACTATATTTGAATTGTTTATGTAAACAAGTTGGACTGCATATATTTATAGACTGACGCATAGAGACGACTACAGAGGGCACAAAAAGCAAACCGTCACAGGTGTTTAACGAATCGGATCGTCTTCGACTGTGGCGTCTCGTCGCAGCGTGATGACGTCACGCCGTGTGCAGTCCCAGAATCTCGGCATCCTTTCCTGAAATGGCTGCTGTACAAGTATGCGAAGCCGAGAAGGTTTACATTATGCACGGGGTGCGGGTAAGTTAACTTCTTTTTCCTTTATAGTACACTATACTTAATTTACTTCACTAAGTCTAATTGTTATACCCATATAAACTGTTAATCATGAGGTATACTTGAGTTTAGTAAGAGGCATGTGTCTAGTAAGGAGATTTTGGAAGGGGTATTTTGTATATGATGTACAAGTTGCCTTACTTTTGAGGTTGAAGTCTGAGTCTGTATTTTTTAGTCTACTACTCCTGTTTTTTGGTGTACAATTAACCCTCGGGTTTGATGTACAATTCACCCTTGCTTTTCATGTGGTTGAAATGCTTATTACAGTGTGATTACTGTGTGTAACTGCGGTTGTCCTTGTTATTCTGCATCAGGATGACTTGCGGGTCGATGGACGGGGATGTGAGGATTACCGGCACATGGAGATTGAAACTGACGTGGTGTCAAACACAGATGGGTCTGCCAGAGTTAAACTGGTAAAGCTACCCGTCCTGTATTTAGTCTGTTTCGCAGTGAGTCTTCTAGGTTGGATGTCCACCTTAGAAAGTTTCATAAGCACAATTATGTTTAAATAAGTAGAGTGCAGTTACGTATCATACGTGAAATAAAAACATTGTCGTGAAAGTGAAGGTTTATTTAATAGATATTCTCGTTTTCCCTCAGGGGTATACAGATGTTCTCGTCGGAATTAAAGCAGAGATTGGAAAACCTAAGCCAGCGGCACCAGATGAAGGGTATCTGGAGTTTTTTGTCGACTGGTAGGCAATATATGTGTATTTTATGGAATACGGATTCTCCCACCAGTTTCTTTATTTTTTCATTTCCTTAAGCAGACACTAGATGGCAGTCAAAAACGCATATTAAGGCTTGTGTTTAATTCCCCATCATGGTTGGCACGTGCAGATAAATGTGGATTAACGTGGGTTAAGGGGAGGCACCAGCCATGTAGTGGGCTGGGTCTCCAGATTTACAATCTGCACATAGTTAGTTTGTATGTTATTATTCCTGCAAGAAATACCTGATTTTTCACAGAATATTGGAACGTGATTGGAGAGTGCTTTCACGACTGAGAACACTGCAGCAAGCAGAGTCTATGAGTGATTGAGTGATGGTGTTATAAGTCAGTGTTTCCAAACCCAGTCCTCGGGGAACACCCCCCCCCCCCCAGCCAGTCCATGTTTTCGCTCTCCGTCAGCTCTCTGCCAGACAGTTCATACTTTTGTTCCCATCCAATGGGTTGGGAAACACTCTCTTAAGTGATGCTGCGGGGGGTTTGCAAAGAACAGTGAATTTAAAGCTGGGATCCCCACAATCCAAATATACTGACAGCACTGCCAGTGGACATGCATCAGATTGTGCAGAAAACAAAACATTGTTGATAGGTCCTAAACAACTACAGGTAGTGAGACTGTAGTAAGTCGATTGCAAAGTAACTGACTTCATATATGCTGAGGAGGAATCAGAAAATGAGAATTCAAACATACTTGTCAGTAGCTCTGTTTGAAATGTGACTTGAAACTGTCAGTTATTAAATAAGATTAATATTAACTTAGTTCATCCCCGGGGGGACATTCTTGTGCATTCAGCAGCAAGCACATACAGCACAGATGTACATAGCAAATCTGTACATGTTCCACAAGTGGAATTAGCAGAAGCTAAAAATAGTATTTGAAATATTATTAAAGAATTGAACGCATGATAGTTTACATTTGTATTGTTAAGTGTGGTTTATGACTTGAGGCAGAAAAAATGTGCTGGAAAGTGAGAGAATGCCTTTTTCCCTGATCACCGTGGGCAGCTCGGCGAATGCGACCCCAGAGTTCGAGGGCCGAGGAGGGGAGGAGCTGGGCTCTGAGCTGAGCTGCACCCTCTACAAGGTGTTCAACAACGTGAACAGTCTGGAGCTGCGAGCGCTCTGCATCGCCCCCCGGGAGCACTGCTGGGTGCTCTACGTGGACGTGCTGGTGAGTGGCAGGCCCAACAGCCAACTGAAAGCCTTACCCACAATGAAAGGCCACAGTTTTCAGTTTTAAACTGAAGTCTTAGGTCTCTTTTTATTCTGTTAGCTTTTTGTAGCTGCATTAGCAGTCGTAGTCAGACCTGAGTTGAGATTACAAAAGTGGGGGGGGGGGGGCACTCATGTTCCGAAATATTGTACATTTTCTCTCTTGCCTCAGCTGCTTCAGTGTGACGGCAACCTGTTTGACGCCATCTCCATAGCGATCAAGGCAGCGCTCTTCAACACGCGGTGAGTGTGGATCCGAGGTCACGGGCGGTATTGGATCGGGATTGTCAGTGCCGTGGTGCTGGGGCAGCAGTTACCAGGCCGTGGGTTCTGTCTCCCCAAACAGAATCCCCAAAGTGACCATCACGGAGGGCGAAGAGGGTGGAGCGGAGCTGGAGCTGTCGGACGACCCGTACGACTGCGTGAGGCTGAACGTGGAGAACGTGCCGTGCATCGTGACGCTGTGCAAGGTTGAGGCGCCCCCCCCCCCCTTATGTGGGCTTTATATTTGGCATATCCCTTTAACCTCAGTAAATGAGTAGAAATTGAGTCTGGAGGGTCCGGAAGTTTCTTAGTCATAGCATGGAGGGGAAGATTAACTGGAGCTCAGTTTTTTAGTTACTTTTGATTGGACTCGATTTCTCTTTGCTCTGGTCAGTACTGGTACTGCTGCTGGGGGTCCAGGTGCAAATAACTTGTTTGCCGCCCCAGATCGGCCACAGGCACGTGGTGGACGCCACGCTCCAGGAGAAGGCCTGCTCTGTGGCCGGCTTGCTGGTCTCCGTCACGCACAAGGGCACCATCACCTGCGTTAGGAAGGTGGGGGGGGGGAGCCTGGAACCTGAGAGCATCTTCGAAATGACAGAGGTGAGCTGAGTGGGGGCAGGGGGGGGGGCAGGGCTGCAGCCTGCCTGGCGCTCACTGGGTGTGTCTCCACAGACGGGCAAGCGGGTAGGGAAAGCCCTCCATGCCCCACTGATGAAGCTTCTGCGAGATGAGGAGGCCCAGGGCAAGCAGAGGCAGAAAGTGGGCTTCCTGGGATAATCAGCCACCCCCCCGCGCCCCCCCCCCCCCCCCCCCCCCCCCCCCCACACCACATGAACATTTCCAATAAAAAGTTTTTGTAAAGATTGTGCTTCTGATTCATTCTTCATTCGGTAGCTTGTTTGGCATCATCTTTCTATATCTGGTCAACATCTACACATCGAGAAATGTGGATGGCAGGAGGATCTGTACTCCGGCCAAGGTTTGACAGTAAAGAAGGACGTCGATCTCGGTGTAAAGGTACAGACCACTTACAGGATGCTAGGAACGGCCTCTCTGTAGATGGTCGTTCACTTTGACGGTTTGTCTCAGGGAAATCAGTGGATGGATTTATAAATTGTATTAAATATACTCTTTTATTAAAGAAGCAGCACACATACAATGGAGTAGAATCGCAATTAAAATGACGGATGCTTCTTAGGAAGGAAAAACAAAAGCAGATACCACATGCTATGTCTCCTCTGAACCTGTACAGCTGCTCTACGTATCCCTGCAAGTACAATTAAGCTGATTAGCTTGGTGGTTTGGTATATCCACCTTCTACAATTACTTATCTATTGCAGAGTTACAGAGGGGCTGGATCCAGCCAGGTCTAATGCAGGACACACATCCATATATACACATGAATATGCAAATGCTTGTGAAGAAGCCAGTTCATCTAACCACATTTCTTCACTATGGGAGGAAATAGATCCCACCACCCAGTGTTATATATAATGTCCTTTGTTATGGGGGATTTAATGCTGATGCTCCAGTATGAAAAATGCCCTTACAGAAGATGACAAGGAACTCAGTTACACCATGGAAAACACTCACAATGAAGACCGATGCTCAATCAGTTTTTATGTTCCAGTATCTAGCAGTCAGCTGAAATGTGAGACTGTCCTTGTATACTCTCACAAAAAAAAACAGCATTACATAAGAGGCATTTAATAAATGTGAAATGTGGTCATTCTAGAAGCATTTATATACAGAGGCATTGGTCATGTTTGGGGGTTTGGGATTAAAGACTGGAACCAAGCAGGGTGAGTAGAGTACTTTCAGATGTGGCTGTGTATCACGCAAGAATAGGGACTTTTTAGGACACTTGGTGGTACCGTAACATTTCATTGTTTGGCCTCTGGCATTGCCTACAAATACATCTCTATCGGCTGCCTTTACGCGCATGTACCGAGCAGACACACGGGACCCGTTATGCAACGTGCCCCTTCCCAAACAGACATGTTGAAGCTAAGCAGATGTGAGGCTGGGACCACTTTCATTGCGCAACCCTGCAGGCTAAAAATTGAAGGCGAATTTAATGTACGTGCAATTAAACGATTACCACTATAAGCTCTTTTACATAATTTTTTTTTGTTGCCATCATAGATAATTCACAATATAAATATCCATAAGCAGATCACCAAGTGTTTTTGTTTATCCAGGCTTCGAAAACTGTGGTATTTAAAATTAAATATTATAATATTCTCTACTCCCTAGACGAGCCGACATCGATATGAAAATGTAGTGGTTCAGTGGACAGCGAGAAATGCTGTTTATAAGAGGAGGAAATTTCAGGGCCAGAAAGTAAAAATCCAGACCAAGGTTTTGTTTGAATCAACCAGTTGAGTACTCTGTCACTCTTTATGCTCAACCGGTTGGTTGAAACAAAATCTTGGTCTGAATTTTTACTTTCTGGACCTGAAATTTCCACCTCTGCTGTTTATGCAATGCGCTTTCAGCACCAAGGAATTTAGTAATGGGCTATGCATGCGGACCAATTAAATACCCGTCTAACATATGAAAATCAAAGAACGAAGATCAGAACCAATCTGCAACCGGTTAACGGTAAGCATAATAAAGAATGATTAATTGGAACAATTAATAATAATTAACGAAAGCCTTTGAGCATGCTGTTTATAAATGCGGAAAATCAAGGGCGAGTTTACATCATCATGAAATCTATCATGGTAATAGGGTACACCAAGAACGTCAAAACATAAATTCTTGTGATAGTTATGAGGCTACAATTTCCAAATCCATTTGGGTAAACAACTCGGAATCAGTATAATATAAAAAGTTTGGCCGAACATGACCTTGTTCTTAGTTCTCCGCTCTCCTATTCTAAGGTCCTGCATTTTAGGGCGCACATACGGGACTCTTTTTTCCTCACTCTTGACACTCCGCCTTTGAGCGCATCTTGCATTGCAGCGTTTCACACTCGGGGATCCTCGCAGGCGCCGCCATGCATTTCAGACGAGTGTGCGTTTTGCTCTGTCTTCTGTTTCTTGCCCATCACTCTTTCCAGGAGACCCCTTCCAAGAAAAAGAGCGGAAAGAAAGGTAAGATCCCGCAAAACTACAGAGCATTTTTGATACGCGATTCTTCATGACATGTTGTATGACATGTTATGCAACAGCTTTACGTGGTTATCGCTGTCTGTAGTCTTTCCCCAAATGAAATTCATTCTGAAAAGATTTTTAAGTAAAATAATTTAAAGTACCCAAAAATAAAAACCAAGAAAAGTATTTAGAGCAGGCGCGCAAACATGTGCTCGTCCTCCAAAGGATGTTTTGTGCTGCATGTTTTTAGTGGCACGTGAAGCGTGAAGAGATACAAACACATACGCGGTCTGAATTTTAGAACCTCACCAAAGCATTTGCTAAAATGTCAAAACATAGTTTCAAAAAAGACTACAAAATTCCACTAGCAGCTGCAAACTTGAGATCCAGCGATTCACTGACAAACTAGTCTTTGATACTCTTTGGGTTGGTTCTTGGGGAAGCCCTGACATGGTATCCCCAGGGTGCTGCGGAATGATGAAATGAGGCTCTTCAGGCAGATGGACACCAGATTAGAGGATGTTTGCTGGTTTTAAAGATCCTCACCCCTTACCTTCTCATGCACCTCCATCGCCCAGAAGGTGGGAACACGGCTGCTATTGAGGAGCTGAAGAAGCAGGTGGAGGACATCATGCAGGACGTGCGGCTGCTGAAGGAACAACAGGCCCTGCAGAGGGGTGAGGGTGGGGGCATGTGGGTGAGGGTGGGAGCATGGGTGGGAGTGTTAGGCCAAACTGCTTGAGGGATCTTCACAGCTTTTTACATGGAGATCGGAAGAAAACAGTGAAAAATGGTCATGGTATAATATACCGTGCCATATATTATGACCATTTCCATTACATGGATGCTGTTAGGGGTTGGCGTTGATGCCAGGGACTACCCCATGTTCCGTTACACTGTGTTCTGTGCTTTGGTGTTCTCTGCCGTGCCTCGTGGGATACAGACGGATCAGCTCTGAAGTACGGGGAATGTTTCCCATCAGACGGTAGGTCCCGTGGAGGGTGGCGGGGGTGGGGGGGGGGTTTTTATGGTGTGCAGGAGGACAACAGATGGGGCAGAGAAATAAATCAGGAAGACCTGTGACCTTTCCTATCCTTTCAAGTCGTCTAAGATATAGCAGAGGGCAGTGTCGTAGATAAATACCATAAAAAAATGTGTAGGAGGCCATTTTGTAAACCTGCTGGTTTTTCTGATTGTCGTAGAAACCAGGAATTGAGCTCACGTGATGTCACTTCCTCCCCTGTCCAGTTTGCCTGAAGGGAACCAAGATTGATGGCAAGTGTTTCCTAGCAGTGAGCGTGAAGAAGAGCTACCATGTGGCCAACGAGGACTGCATGGCCATGGGGGGCACCCTCAGCACCCCCGTGACGGGCGATGAGAATGACCAGCTGTATGAGTATGTGCGGCGCCGCATGGGACCTGAGGTGCAGGTGTGGCTGGGCATCAATGACATGGTCTCTGAGGGCCACTGGGTGGATATGTCGGGCTCCAGCGTGCGCTACAAGAACTGGGAGACGGAGATCACCCGGCAGCCGGATGGCGGCCACACGCACAACTGCGCCGTGCTCTCCACCACGGCCAACGGCAAGTGGTTCGACGAGAGCTGCAAGGTGGAGAAGGCCTTCGTCTGCGAGTTCAACATCGTTTGAGCCGCCGGCGTGCTCCTCTCACCCTATTGGTGCATGTGACCTGAATATCTTGTTTGATTGGAGGATTGAGATCGCGTAAAAACATACATTTCATCACTCTAGTTTTTACTATTCACTTAATCATATGAGGATGTAAAATAAGATTCTCTTCTAGAAATCAGGCAGATCTCTTGCTCAACCAGATAGCAAGCATGTTACGATTCTTTGGCAATACCAGACTTCAGCGTCATGGCGCTCCATGAAAACAGCCCGGGATCAAGGCCCCTCAAGGTTTGCTGCTTGCTGTCTCCAAGCCGGGAGCATAACCAGCCAGAACACCATAAAGCTTTTAGCATCACTGAATGGTTTTATAGAAAGTAGGAAAGGCTGAGAGATTAGGGAACATAAGTGCCGACCATGCATCTGAATCACTGGTGCTCAATCCACCCCCAAGCCATCATGTGTACTGATTCACATTCCTGCAAACTCTTAATTAGCCTTGACTGCTGCTGATTAAATCTTGACTATGATTGATCTGGTTATTAAATAATTTTTTTCTTGGATTGTTATATAATCATACGAGCGTACAGTGCAAAATATGATCAATAATGATTTTAATTAATTTACTTGATAGCTAAATTTGCATGAATAATTGCATAGGTAAATGGCTGGTTTATCCTGATTAAACTGAAACTTTTACTGTTGCCCACACTCCAGAAAATCAAGTTAGAGTAAAACATTTGACACTTTTTTAATTTACGCTCGACGTAGAGTTTGTAACTTTTGTGGTAATATCTACTAACTCAAATTTTAGTAAGTGAGAGGTTAGTTCATATAAATCTTTTTAATCAGTCCTACATTGCTGGCTTTTATGCAATGATTTATTTATATGTTACTTTTAACAGTTATTTTTCAATGATTATTTCAGATAGCTGGCTTTTGCATTGTTTTAATCAAGAAGTTTCAACTGATATAACCAAAGAAAAGTACTCTTTAAAATATTTCAATAAAATGTTTAAAAAAAAAATCTTGATTTGCCCATGTGATGCTGGGGAAACACTGTAGGTAAGAGAAAGAGACGCTCCTCTACTTACGTTCACAAGTCATTATTCAACACCATTTCAAGGATATAGGCAAGTACAAAGAACTAGGATGCTGGGAGTACGCACGCTACGTTGCTGCGCGGCGGGAATAGCAGCCAGAAGTCGTACTAGACGGAATTGGCACGCAGAAAAAAATTTGTTGCGGACAGGAAATGGGAGCCCAATGAACACACTTTGGACTTGCAGTCCTCTTCGTTCGTATGTCTGAAAGTTCGTAAGTTGAAAGTTTGTAAGTAGAGGAGCATCTGTAAAGGTGTCTTGCTGGTTTAACTACTGACCAATGGAATGTAAGGAACATTCCTGGTGTTTATTTATTGTGACCAATGGGATGTAAGGAATGGGTTGGCAGAGCTTTAACTACCTACCAATGGGAGAGATGGTGTTTTTTTTTCATTGTGACAAATGGGATGTTAGGTAGTGGCTGCATCAAGCTCCTCCTGGGTGAGCTGTAATTAAGGTCACAGACTCAACATTGTCTTTTTATACAAAAAGGAGGTATGCGAGTACATTTGGCTACTTTGACACAAACAAGTCAGAAACAATGTTATTTGTGGAATACATTCAGTACTTTCAGATCACCCCCATATGTGCCTTTGGATACCCAGAATCTGTTAACCATTCAGCCGCTGCACTACAGCACACAAAACAGATACACAGTTTACAACACACAGCACACACTAAAACCTTTTAATCGAAAATAGACACAGTGGATTTTTACAAAGGCCATGCCTCTAATTATAGAATCTAAAAACATTTTATGGAAAATACAAGTGTACAAAAGAGTTGGCTCCGGCACTTAAAATGTGAAAGGCACACTATTATAAAAGCCCCTATTTACAGCCTGGACTCTCCCTCCAAGAACACAAGGGAGATAAATACCTTTAACAGACTTTAGAAACTTTGACGTCAGTATTACTGACATCCATATGGACAGCTTTGGTAGGTAAGGCAGGAGAGGCTCCACCTAAATTAATGTAGCACATTAGCAAATTCACAGAAAAGCAGCAACATCCATCCAGTAAAGAAATATTTCTGCTCAGTGTTATTCCAAACCAGTGTTTTTTGGATTCGGTATCCATCTCCATATATGCCGAAGCAAAAACCTTTGTTGGCTTTGGATTTTCTTCCATCGGTGCTGAGAAATTCACTCCAGTCCTTGTGGTTTGAAACGGCTCTGTGAGGAGTGGGACACAGATTGGGCAACGGAAATCAGCTGTAAGGTCCAGTGTCTCAGCCCAAAGAGAACCCCCCCCCCCCCCCCCCCCCCCCCCGGCCAGTCATATCAGCTCTTGTTGCTGTACTTTCCACTCCCTCAGTTCCCTCACATACTGCCCAGCAACAACCCCTCAACTCTTAGGTGGTATCTTCCGACTCCGATTCCAGTTCTGGATCATGGCTGGGACCAGAGAGTGACTCTAGGGGGGTTTCCTTGTCTGCGAGTGTTGACACGTTGCGGCTGGGAAGCGGTGGCGTGCCGTCAGGCTGCAGCCGGTAAACGTCCACGGCGTACAGGGGTACCTCCCTAGTGTGGCATTCCGAATCCGTGGGTTTGGTGAAGCTCTGGGAAACATCCACCTGCATGCCATCCATGTCCGATTCCTGGAGGAGATGTGTGTATACCTGGGTGTCATCAATGTAGGCGTAGATGTGCGACTCGCTGTCTGCTCGGGTTTTGGGGTTCTGAGGGTGTCCTGGAGCCATGAAATTCCCGTTGGGGTTGTAGACAGACACCGGATGACACGAGTCTTGCTTCTGCCGCTTCCTGTGGAAACAGAGATAGAGAAACACACATACGATTTCTAAACCAGTGTTTGAGAGCGTTAATGATTCCAGTCTCACACAGAGCGGAGCTCATCTCTGTCACACAAACACCCTACCTAAACTGGAAAGGGTGCCAACTTTCTAACTGGAAACCTGCGAGAGAAAAGCACAAGGCTCCAGAGAGATTAGTTTCCCTGGCTACGGTATTTCACTCACCGGATCATGCAGCAGATGGCCAGCAGCACCACAACAGCCAGTACCAGCATTACTCCCGCCAGCCCGAGGATGACAGGCAGACTGGAGGCTGCAGGATGGGGAGGAGAGAGCGACTGATCAGCAGCCAATCACAGCACGAGGAGCGCCCACATGGACCGTTCCGCTCCACTCGATAGATCTCACAACCTACCTGGGTTTTTTTGGTATGCAAGTTTAACACAGTGATTCTGTTTATATTAGCAAAGGGAACAACTCCTGTCTGAAGTGGGTAGGATTATCCTCTGCCATTAAGCACCGGCAGGTTTAACCAGGACCTCATGCGATTCAAATCCTTGCTCAGCCCGTTTCAGCTTTACAGAATGTGGGTTTTTGTCCTGAAGGTCATCAGCTCAATTCCAAGGGAAAAAAAATGTCAAATAAAATACAGTACCAGTCATAACCTCCCATAGAAAGGCTTATTGGCACTATTCTCTACATTTTAGAATAATTATACAGATATCAAACTTCAAAACATATATGGAATTATGAATTGACGAAAAAAAAAGAATTAAATAAATTTATTTTGGGGGGGGGCAGCTCCATGGGTTGGGACTCAGAAAGTTGCTGGTTTAAGTCCCTGGATTGGCAGACTGATCCCAGCACTGAGCCCTTGAGTGAGGCCCTTAACCCCGACTGGCTGACCCTACTGTCTCCGCTACGCCAGTTCCATGAGGTGGCCACCTGGGATGTTCTTCCAGCTGTCCTGAGCAGCCACCTTTCCTTCTCCCTCTGCTCAGACTCCTCCCAAACCACTTCTACTGTGTTTAGGTCAGATGGCCAGGTCATGAGATGCGACACTATCGCTCTGCTTTGTAGGCGGCTTGTTGCATCCCAACATTTGACTGGTACCGTATGTAAAAGAAATCATTGTGCGCCATCCTCCCACCGCACCTTTACACCCTTCTGGATCTACTGGTGAAGGCAACCATTAGGGCAACCCTCAGTCGATATACTGACCTCTTTTGGTTGGCAATTATCACGACTAATGATACAACCTGCAATGTATCACAAAGAGTGTTCTTCACAATTTTCTTCAGGTTCCATTGCTATGGAGCCTGGAGCACACCCTTCAGTGGAGGGGGAACGGTGGGGGCAGGAGGAGTTCTGACACGCACCGTTCTGCTTCATGACGATCTTGCTGAACATGCGGAAGTTTTCCCGTTCCACCAGACAGTTGGATACGTTGAGGTAGAAACTGTTAGGCACGAGGACCTCCGAGACGGAATCCTCGTCCTCCCTCTGGCTGTACACCTCCTCGTGGGAGCCCTGCATTTTCACCGTGATGCCCGTGTGCCCGTCTTCACACTTGGGCTGGCTGACGGTGACGAAATTCACGCTGGCCAGGAAGCCCTTGGCCAGGGAGAAGATCCATGATGCTGTGGTGTAGGTCCTCATGCCATCTGGCCATCCAGGCGTGGCCAGCAGGGTGGGAACGCCCTCTTGGGGGGATACGAAGAAAATGTAATTCTCTGGGGGGGCAACAGGAGGAAAAAAAAAGAAAAGAAAAACATAGGTTCACGAAGGTAGCTGTAAATACGGTTGGACAAGTAAATATACTTTTTCTATTAAAAGGTTCTAGTGAGTACTGTGTGCTGTAAGCTGTGCTGAATAAACTTTACTGTGAAGATGGCAACACCAACTAATATGTTACTAAGCAAAGGAATAAGGGAATGTCATGCAAAAATGGCTACAGCAGTATTTAGTCTATTACTGACAATGGGAACATCACAGATGGACAGAGTGACGTGAGGCAAATCACTGACGAGAGCAAAAGCTTTTTTTTTTGATTGCAGTCACAGATTAATGTAATAAATACATGATTTTAACAGCGGAAAGGGCAGGCAGGCAGATGACGTGATTACATAAATGTCGGCTCGGCATTCTGTTCTACCTTTAATTTTTCTTTGGAAAGACACGGAGAAAAATGACTGCTGTGACGGGATGAGCAGGTTATCAGTGGTGGGCATCGCTGTGATGGAGATGTTATTGAAGGTCTGAATCCTGCGGATCGGCCCCAGGGGGCAGAAGTGTCCCACGGAGAAGCCGTCACGCTCGGTGACGAGAAGGGTGAAGCTGCCGTTGCAGTTGAAGCCGGGGAACATCTGCTGCAGGCTCCCAGTGGCCGGCAGCAACTCCAGGCCGCCCCCTGCTGGTGCTTGCAGGTGCCAGGTAACGCTGCTGATGAGTTGGGGGAGGCACGGCTGCAGGGGGGGCACGGTGAGGGGGATGCTGCTGGGGCACTCCCAAAGCTGCCGGCACACTGACAGAAAATGTAATGTTTAGAGAGAGAGGCACAGAAAGAAAGAGAAACACAGGCAGACAGACATGGAGGCAGATACAGAGAGAGAGGCAGACAGGCAGACATGGAGGCAGATACAGAGAGAGAGGCAGACAGGCAGACATGGAGGCAGATACAGAGAGAGAGGCAGACAGACATGGAGGCAGATACAGAGAGAGAGGCAGACAGACATGGAGGCAGATACAGAGAGAGAGGCAGACAGAGACACAGATGCACAGCCAGACAGGCAGCAGAAAGGCAATTGATTAATCCAGAAGGAAAGTGAAGGTTAACAGAACCACAATGCACATGTTTAGACAGTGGAAAAAGACTGATTAATAAAGAGTTTTTTGTCTATTTACCATTACTAACAGTGCAAAAAATGTCAGGGAAAATATAGCACAGAGTGCTGAACAAAGTGACAGTTCAGAAGTAGTTTTGCATGGCGAGTTGTATGGTAATAAATAGCACTGCACGGTAGGGCGTAAATAGTAAATACTGCACCGTGAGCTGTACAGTGAATGAATGAACCAAAGCTGTAGCCCCCGAAGGGACACACAGACCCAAAGATTTGGGTTTGATACACGCTGATAATTGGTCAGTTAACTCAAGTGGCCTATGCATTCTGGTTAGGCGCATTACCTATAGTCTGGTTTATCATCAGAGACAGATCTTCATATGTGCAGTCCTGAAAGTTGAGATTGGTCACCTTCCCTGCACTCAGAGTCACCTCGGCCACAACGACAGAGTCCTTTTTAATCACACAGCCTGACTTGGGGTTTGTCTTTTTAATGTGGATGGAGAGGCCGGCTTCCTTCGCCAGACTGACCGAGCACAACCCTGGAAGAGAGACAGAGTGCGTGAGCGGGACTGAGATTCACAGAGATTCAACAAGAAAAAACAGAAGTAGCTGTGTGTTCAGTGGGCTGAGCCTGGATCCTGGTCATGGGACGGATGTGTCAGGCAGCGGAGATGTGACTCAAACCCGGATATTCCCCAGAGCTCAGAAAACACATCCTGAGCTACGAAAATCACTGAGTCATCGGAATCCAGCGTCTTCCTGAACCACCTTGAGGGCCTGGCTTTCTAAAGCTCTAACATCTTTTTCACCATTGGTCACTACATATTGGGTTTTCATTTTGAACTGTGTGTGATAAGATTCAATGGGCTGTTGTGAAATAGTAGGTGCGGCATCTGAGTCACATCCTTTGAAATGATAGAAATGTTCCATGAAGATGATGTGGGTCATATGTGCACCTTAACAAACCCATATAAAGCAGAATTAATCACTTAAATCAGTCAGTATCTAAGAGGAATGAAATGGTTACTGGTTTCACTGCAAATTTCCTGATTATATCCTGTATTACCGTTTAAAATTTTAAGTATTATATTTATTTATTATTAAAACCGTGGTTGATTACTGCACTTTTAAAAAGTCATGTTAAATCCTGTCCCTCATTGATCAAACTTCGTTATATTCTCCCAGCTGCATGAGTGCAGGCAACATGGATTTGTGTCAGCAGAAATACAGCGGAAGGCAGTGACAGTGCTCCAGTGGGTCTTCAACCTTTTAAGAGGACTAAGTCTGAAGTGTGGCCATATTTTAGGTTTTATAAGATTGATTGAAGACACCGGATTAAGGATGGTTCCCCTTGTCTGCAGAACATCTGCAGAAAAATCCCTACGAAAGGAAGCGACACTTCATGGTCATGGTTTATCTGCCGAACTTGGTAATAGTTGGTAACTGAAGCTCAGCATCTTGTAAAAGCACCACACATTGGCAGTGACGTCATGGAAGCTGCACTTTTTTTGCTTCAGCCACAGAGCTAACTGAATGCCCATTTGCAATTAATGATCAATGAATTCCATATATGTTTGTCTTTGCATATTCTAAAAATAGAACAGTTTAGACCAGTTTTTCCTTCTTCTCTATAGATTAATGCCACTGATTTTTTCTGGTTTTCAATACAAAACTTATAAAAATAATTTTGGGTTGTGTATCAGTACTTAACATTTTCAGCACATTTTAGTAATACCGTGATAATACTGATAATTTATCATTTTGGTCACTATAACCCATTCATTTTCTGTAACCATCTGTCCTATTCGGAATCATGGGGGGTCCGGAGCCTATCCCGTGGCCTGTACTACGAAGCGGGGTTACTGGCTTATCAGGGTAGCTTGTCGGATTTAAGGTACCACAGTTTAAATGGACTTCATATTCGTTCACTTACATTTTGCCCAGACTACCTTAAATCTGACAAGTTACCCCGCTTCGTAGTACAGGCCCCCAGAGGCTACAGGTGCAAGCCAGGGAACAACCCAGGATGGGGCGCCAACCCATCACAGGGCACACTCACACACCATTCACACATATGGGCAATCTGGTAATATCAATTGACCTCAGCATGTTTTTGGACTGTGGGGAGAAACCGGAGAACGCAGAGGAGTTCCGGGGAGAACATGCAAATGGAACATATGGAGCCATGGTGGAGACTCGAACCCAGGTCCCAGAGGTGACAGAACAGTGCTGACCACTGCACCAGCGCAATCACCCCGATGATTATAATCGTGATATACAGCATCACCCCTATGATTATAATCGTGATATACAATTTTCTTATTTCATCTCTACTATCTACATGTAACTAACATAAATTACCAAGATTTTAACGTTATTTCATTTGCACCAGTACAATTTCTTAATCTTACTGTTTAGCAGAGGCTTTTATTCAAAATGACTACAAATCGAGACAGCAGGGTGAGCCAGTCCCTGGACCAACTGCGGTTAAGGGCCCAATGGTGAAATTGCTCTACCGACCAAAGGATTTTGAACTGGCAATCTCTCCCGTCCCTGGCAAACCTCAACACTGGGACCGGCTGTCATGATCAGTGGGGTATGGTTCAAGGCTGGCAAATAAACATCTAGCCAATGGGCTAGAACTATACAATAGATATACGGACTTATCCGGTTTCATAATGGTTTTTATGCTCATTCAAGTTGACACTGTAAAAGAGCCAGTGGTGACCATCAATTGTTTTGGGATTCACCCTGGAGGGGAACATTTCTGGCAATGTGCCTGCCTTCCTCCTGCTGGGACACGGCTCTCTGCGATATTAGCGACATCAGCTTACGTGCCTTTGGTTTCTGCTGGTATCACGGACACCTTGAAGGCGAGAGAGTTTCCGGGGAAGTTGCGGTCCTTGCAGTTCCTCAGGTACATGCTGAAGTTACCATGCGCTTTGGCAGGTTGGGTGTCCGCCAAATTCTTCACCAGAGAAAAGTTCTTGTATTGGAATTCCACAGTCGCTCTCTGTCCGGAGCATCCCGGCGAATCGGAGGACACAAACTGGACCGTGGCGTAGTGTTTGGGTGGGACGTTGAAGCTCCACATCAGGTCGCCGTCGGGGAAACGGGCAGGATATTCCGGCGAGAAGAACTCGGAGACAGTCAATCCTCTTGGAATGGCCACCTCGAACTGGGCCAGTGCTGGATAAAATAAAACAGGTGTTACGTTCAGGTACAAGCAATTACGTAGAAATCAAAAGAATACATGTCTGAATTCAAGTCTTTTTTTAAATCAGTCCAGATACATGGTGCATGCAAAGCTTAAGATAGCTGCTGTATAACAGATACCAACAAAATATAATAATAGTGATACTTTATAGGCCTGTCGCGATAGTCGATAAATCGATTAATCGCACGATAAAAGAAAATGGCCGCGATAATTTCATTTGCATACTTGTTTGTTATCCGCGACTGAATGACAACTCTTGTTTCCTTAGCGTAGGAGAAGCGAACCCTCTTGTCAGTTGCATTGTCTTTTGTGTGGGGAGCAGAGCATGTGAGCGGAGCGGAGC